GTAGTTTCGGAGCCTATTCAATACAAACAAACAAATCTTTCCTCTTTATAATATTAGTATAGAAGTATAGATAATAACGAACACACGTATGAACTCAAAACCGCAGACGAAATTATTTGATGTATGATATGGAAACTGCTAAAATATTTATGTTTTTGCGACTCCATTCATGCGAACAGCGAAACCCCGTAAATCTTCATATCGAGTTTGTTTTCTCTTTGAATGTGTGAACGTGCCATTGAATCAGTCAGAGTGATTTAGTAAAAAAAAAAGACACGTGCATTCGTCACAGAGAACAAGCTATAAACGTATTTTTTGTAGTAGCGAAGAATAGAGGTTTTAAAATTGTTCATAAAAAAATATTCATGAACAATGCGAATCAAGTAAGCTTCACTGATTTGATAAGAGTTCGGGCGGACTTTATATCTTTCATTTTACGTAGCATAGTTTTTTGATTTTTTTTTTTAAATGTAAATCATCTCAACATTTTGCAGCCAGCTCAAATCAAATCAAATCAAAAAAGTTTTATTCAACATAAATGAAAGTACATACTTGTTGAACGTCAAAAGAACTACCGCCAATTCACAAGAATTAGCCTCCGTCCTGAGAAGAATTGGCAAGAAACTCAGCGGGCATGTCTTTTTTTTTTTTAATATTAGATTTTTTTAAATATTCATTTTTACAATAAGTAATTATAACATAACCATCCAGAGCTTTATATAATCGAAATTTATTTGAAAGTAACACTAAGGGCCAAAGTGCAGCTCCTTATCTAATACCTGATGCATGATACTTACAGGCCAAACTAGTGTTATGTGTGTACATCTACTCAAAAATAATTATTGTCTGCCTCGAGCTAGTGTCCTTGATTGCTGGGAGCTATGGTCGTGGAATCGATTCCCACGTTGGGCCAACATTCGTGTGATGAACATATTTGTTTGCTATTTGCCTAGGCGTTTATTATCTATGTATTTATATATATGATGGAGAGGCTGGTTCCATGGCGTTTTTAAAGTGGTGAACGTTGCTGATGCCATTCTCGTCATGATCATCATTGCCTTCCATAGTGACAGTAATTAAGACTCACTTTTCCAATGAATTCCATTTATTACATTTCAAGTGCACAGCGATAACAACAAGACCTCCACCCCGTTCGACTGCTCGGGACGGAATGTTTTGTGCGTATTTTTTCCCTACCTATGCTGATAGCCTTGAGAGGCTATTTCAGCTTCTCCTTGACATGTAGGTAAGCCCAAGGGGCCCAAACCAGAAGTGTTGCTAACACTGGCTCTAGCAAGAGCGACGGGTTCGACGAGGACGGTGATCGGTGCTTGTGCTACCTAAAAGCACCGTTAATGGATCGGGAAGATCCGTAATGATTTTGTGCGACAATAGTCACTCGTATTTATAGCAGAAAGTGTAGGTAGTTTAGCCATGAATTCTCTTGAATACCGTCTTAAACAATTGTTATCGAGCAACACTTCCGGCCTCACATAATAAATTATTTACGAACTTAGGAAATATATAGAACTTATTATTCTTATAATATAATTAGTAATTTCATAATCAAGTAAATAGTTCATTCATATTTTCTTTATACTTATAATATTTTATTGGCGCCTTCCGCTTGACAGCTTCCGGCGCAATAAGCCTTAATGTTATTTGTTACATAATTCGATATTATTAAATAATAATTGTACGTAAATAATCAGCAGAATAATTAAGATGGACAATGTTTAATATTACCTACTCAGTTTGTAATAAAATAGGTCAAGATGATTATATAAATACCGACGGTTAGCATATCTCTGTTGCATTCGTATTCTACCCACCGTAACGTGTACTAAAGAAAATATATTATTTCGTGTGGATGTTAAAGTGTCTCAATTGTCGCCGCCAACCTGAGGATCCGTTAATACAATCGTTAATATGCGTAATATTAAGGAAATAGTTAATTTTAACTATTTTTATTAACTAAACAGTGATGTTGCGCCGACATATACATTAAAACGTATATAAGTATTAATATTAGCCAGTTTCTTGCTCAGATAGTATGAGAAATCCTAGCTTGGGGCCCGACGATCGTGCGTGACTTGTTCCTGGTTATTATTATTATTATAAAGCATTTAATAAGCGAAACAACATTTATGCATTTAGAAGAAACAACAGCGGCTTTCAATGAACACCTAGAATATGTTCTAGTGTTCGTTGATGAAAAATTTCTTAGAAAATTAACTAGAAAACTGGAAATACATACATATAAGTTTGTGAACTAAAAAAATTTTCACTCAAATTTGGTACTATGGTTTTGTGTTTTCTCAATAAATAAAAAGAAAAAAAAGAAAAATATTAAAAAGAAATATAAAAATTTTATCATCATAGCGTTAGAAGATACGAATAACAAATCGATAACTTCATTTAACAATTTTAGCGAGAACTCGTTCACGATAATCCAATTATTTCATGTCCCCGAACCAAGCTTCCATTAGCGTTGAGTTCCACAATAAGCTCATTAGAGCTTGAATATAAAATTATGAATTCTAAACAATATTCACATAATTGCTCGTATATAGGCATAATCAAAGGCACCTAAATATGTAGTTACTGAAATTGAATGTGTCGTAGGCGTATGTACGTAGCATTTATAAGTCCCGTATCTTATTTGAATACTCATTTAACATTAAAACAGAATCTTAATTGAGGCTGTCAGCACAAAAGTGGCCTATCCTACATTTTTTCATATTCGTGGTTCTACTATATTGCAATTTGTTTAAAGCATAATAAATTTTGATGCAAAACCGGCCTATTTTTTTATTTTTATTGTTTAGATGAGTGGACGAGCTCACAGCCCACCTGGTGTTAAGTGGTTACTGGAGCCCATGGACATCTACAACGTAAATGCGCCACGCACCTCGAGATATAAGCTCTAAGGTCTCAGTATAGTTACAACGGCTACCCCATCCTTCAAACCGAAACGCATTACTGCTTCACGGCTGAAATAGGCAGGGAGGTGGTACCTACCCGTGCGGACTCCCAAGAGGTCCTACCACCAGTAAAAAGCCTATTAGCCTATGCCTAGTTTCGCCCATAGATAGCAGATGGCTTTGTCACCATTATTTTTGGGCGTTTTGTTTTTGCCTATGAGGCAGTGTAAAAGTAAATTAGACCTCATTGTCTCCATACTTACTATAGTAAGCTCAGGTAAGCTTAGGCCACTATTGCGCTGACGGCCTGAATTTCATATTGATGTTAATATTTATGGTGTACTAAAATGTAATAACAAATAGTCCTGTTCTCTGTAAGAGACGTTTGTTACGACTGTCATACATTGAAACTCTTTGGAATTCCTGTATTTATCTAATTTCTCATCACGTGATCATGACCGACTAGATATTAAATTATTACTGTCTTATAGGCAATGTTTGTCTACAGGAAAACAATTTTGATTGTATATTAAACATGATCAGATGAAAATAATAAAAACAAATATAAAAATAAATCTGGGTTTGGGGTTATACTTACACAACCATTTGAAAGGCTCGAAGTTTCATAAATAAAGTGCCTAGTACGTTTGTAAACATGGCTCGATCTTTGTTATCGACTTTTAAATCATATCTAATGGCAACTGAGCAACTAAATAGCACCACTAACCCGACTTTCTCTACTGTATTACAGTTAACTAATTCTAGATCATCTCGTAAAATATATTAAATGAGGCTTATTACTAAATTGCTCTGGCAATACAATACATATTGTAATATAATAACGTCATGAAGAAAGCAGATATTATCCCAAAGCCCAATAACAAAGTTTATATAAAATATTTTTTCACACCAATTTACAAACTGTTCTAACGGGCCTCTTCAAGGAAAATTCTAATTGTAGTTACTAAATAATTTGGGAAAAACCAAGATAGGCCGAGTAAAGGAACTTGGATACCGTTGATTAATGGTCTCCCTGTCTCAAACAAGCTCGTAGTTCAATAGTTCGTAGACTTGCTACGACTGCTACGAAGTGTCTACGTCAACAACAATCTTTTTGTTATCTTATTTCTTTAACGCTTAGCCAATTATTTGTTAAACTACAATAACCTTACAACTAATGCAGTTACAATTAACATTAATAAAGAGTGCAGGAGTTCTTTTTTTTAATTGCTTAAATGGGTGTACGAGCTCACAGCCCACCTGGTATTAAGTGTTACTAGAGCCCATAGACATCTATAACTAAAATGCGCCTCCCACTTTGAGATATAAGTTCTACGGTCTCAAGTATAGTTACAACGGCTGCCCCAGCCTTCAAACCGAAACGCGTTACTGCTTCACTGCAAAAATAGGCGGAGTGGTGGTACCTTCCCGTGCGGACTCACAAGAGGTCCTACCACCAGCAAAATTTCGATTTTCTGGCCTTTAAACGAAGCTCCTTTAATATTTTTGCCCTCCACCATTTTTATTCAGACACGTATCTCGTAATTAACTTGAATAATTAAGAAGAAACTCAAAAGGCGAGAGCTCTTTGATTTTTACTCACAAAGAATTTCACAACAGGCCCGAATTTACGCTTCGTAAGTCGGCTTTACGATACGACTCAGCGAGACTGTAATGTGAACGAATTGAAGATGAATTTCCTTGTTCCTTTTACTCGAGTGGCTAATTCACGTTCAGAAACGATTCGTCAAAGACTGATTGTGGAGAAAAAATAATAATTCAAAAATACATTGACGTGAAATTCAAAATTGAAATTCGATGTTCCCTTTGAAATGCTTTATTAATTTTGAAATAGACCGTAATTGGGTACGAGGTGTTTTTTTTTTCGGGACGAAGTTCCTTATGATACGATGCGTAGGGGTACCCTAACCGGGAAAAAACGTCCATAACGTAAGATTTTTTCCTATTTAGTTTGTTATCAACAGATGTCGCTGTACGTAAATTCAACAATTCCTGAATCGCGGTGACGAGATGTTACACAGTTGATAGACGTGCTCGTATTTCTCTTGCTAAATCATACCTACCTGGCGTAGAGAGATACCGTGAACATGCAGGCGGTTCCTCCAGGGCGAGGCTGCTCCATTGCACTGCGGAGTGGTTGACCCTTGCGATTTTTTTTTTATCAATAAAAAATCACAATAATATATAACCCGAATAATTATTTTCTTTATATCTTGAGAAATCCAAAAGAACTTAAAATTAATATTTTTATAATATTATGGAACTTCGTTCCTATCCGGTGTCCCACGATACTACACTTTTATTTTTGGGTTAAAATTTCATCGGCAAAAATTCACGAGAAAAACAACGTAATTTAAATTTTCATTCGCACACGCTCTCCGTTTTTGCTGTCAGAGAATATTGTTCGTGCAATTTCGAAAAGTTTTTTAATTATTTTGCGAAAGTTTGAAACCGGAATTCGTCTTATAATTATATTATTGACCCCGCATGTGGCTGTGAGCGGCTGCGCTCGGAAGCACATCAAAGACCGGGTCGCTTTGATCATGTCAGCACGGGTGACCGCTTCAGATATTATACCTGTTACGCAGCGAAAGATATATCAACTTTATTGATTTGTTTGTCGGTTATCGTGCAGGCTAATATTAGAAGTATTTTAGAGTTGTAAGGTTGCATTATTATTTAGTTTGTGTCAAACTAATTTTTTTTATTACTTCGTTGGGTGGACGAGCTCACAGCCCACCTGGTGTTAAGTGGTTACTGGAGCCCATAGACATCTACGACGTAAATGTGCCACTCACCTTGAGATATAAGTTCTAAGATCTCAACTATAGTTACAACGGCTGGCCCACCCTTCAAACCGAAACGCATTACTGCTTCACGGCAGAAATGGGCAGGGTGGTGGTACTTACCCGCGCGGACTCACAAGAGGTCCTACCGCCAGTTATTTTATAAATCCATCTTATTTCCTGGGTTTGAAGAAGTATAGTTTATTTTAACACAGCTTATTCAGATTGGTGTGGGACTTCTGTGTCGACAATCTTTGAATGTCATTTTCAATGACTTCAAGGCGTCCATTTATCTTGAACATTTGCAGACGGTCCGATGACAATGCAAGAATTTTAATCTTTGCCCTAATATCCTAACCAGTATTAACATAATAAAAAAATCAAAAATGTCAATATGGTTTTCTATTATATAATAATTGAAGTGTGTTTTTCGGTTTTTTAAACTACATTTCTGGTCATATAATTAAGAAAGATTAAAAGTTCTAGGTTTTTGTAGCCTAAATAATACCAAACTTAGTGTTTTGTTGTGTTTTTTCTTAGAAGTATTTAGTTGCGTTATAATCTAATCTATAAACTAGAATAGAACAAACGGGTTTGGAAGGTAAAATAAAATCTTCATTTTTTTTGCTTTTAATGTGAACTGGGTAAAGAAAAAAAACAATTTAAATCATGACAAAAATAGGTAGGGTGGTGGTACCTACACGTATGGACTCACATGAGGTCCTACCACCAGTAAAATCTGGTTGTAGTATCAGTTAGCGGATATGAGAGGTGGGGCTAGACTAATACATAGATAATACACTTAATATTTGAGACTAATATGTACAGGGACAGAGGGACCCATTTAGCTTTATTCGCCGACGACACGACTGTTTACTATTCCAGTAGAAACAAGTCCCTAATCGCGAAGAAGCTTCAGAGCGCAGCCCTAGCCCTAGGACAGTGGTTCCGAAAATGGCGCATAGACATCAACCCAGCGAAAAGTACTGCGGTGCTATTTCAGAGGGGAAGCTCCACACGGATTTCCTCCCGGATTAGGAGGAGGAATCTCACACCCCCGATTACTCTCTTTAGACAACCCATACCCTGGGCCAGGAAGGTCAAGTACCTGGGCGTTACCCTGGATGCATCGATGACATTCCGCCCGCATATAAAATCAGTCCGTGACCGTGCCGCGTTTATTCTCGGTAGACTCTACCCCATGATCTGTAAGCGGAGTAAAATGTCCCTTCGGAACAAGGTGACACTTTACAAAACTTGCATAAGGCCCGTCATGACTTACGCGAGTGTGGTGTTCGCTCACGCGGCCCGCACACACATAGACACCCTTCAATCTCTACAATCCCGCTTTTGCAGGTTAGCCGTCGGAGCTCCGTGGTTCGTGAGGAACGTTGACCTACACGACGACCTGGGCCTCGAATCTATACAGAAATACATGAAGTCAGCGTCGGAACGGTACTTCGATAAGGCTATGCGTCATGATAATCGCCTTATCGTAGCCGCCGCTGACTACTCCCCGAATCCTGATCATGCAGGAGCCAGTCACCGTCGACGCCCTAGACACGTCCTTACGGATCCATCAGATCCAATAACCTTTGCACTAGACGCCTTCAGCTCTAGGAGCAGGCTTAGGGACCTCGGTAACCGTACTCGTCGAACTCGACAAAGAGTTCGCCGTGCAACCTAACCCATGAATCAGCTCGCTGAGTTTCTCGCCGGATCTTCTCAGCGGGTCGCGGTTCCGATCCGGTAGTAGATTCATTCGCGAAGCAGCTACTCTTGAGTTGTTAGGTCTCCTTCGGAGGCGCTCGGGCAGCTGTTAGCAAATCCCACCCCTCCTGGCTGAGCCTTTGCTCGCCCACCTGTCCTGGTGAAACTGGAAAGGCTTCCGGGCCACCATCCTTCAATCATAAAAAAAACTGGGACAGAGGATAATGTACGAGAGCCCCATACAACCCAACAAGCTCAGCTTTTAATCTATCAGTGCAGCGGAATAAATATGAGCCACTTACACATATATAGGCACATTTATATAGAGGCTTATTTATGTAATAAACTGTTCTAGAATATTCTATTCTGACCATGTTGTGTCATTCCGATGTTAAAGTAGTTTTGTCATGAATAAATTATATTAAGTTGATAAGTACGTGAGAACGCGACCAGTCGTTTTAAATTCTTTTAATTTTCATTGACTAAGTTGTTGATTAAATAGCCGAGGGTAAGTCACATACTGATACGTGCATTACGGTATATTTAAAAAGTACATAAACAGCATTTATTGATACTTTGTAATATCTCACATTTAAAGAGAAGATTTTTTCAAACTGACAAGTATGTATGTATGTTTTTCTTTTTTGTATTTCAAAGCACCAAAACAAAGAGTAAAGCAGTAATTAAAAATCGTGGACACGCCACTAAGTAATTATTTTTAGTACAACATGATTTAAATTGGTTTTTTTCTTTACCCAGTTCACATTAAAAGCAAAAAAAATGAAGATTTTATTTTACCTTCCAAACCCGTTTGTTCTCTTCTAGTTTATAGATTAGATTATAACGCAACTAAATACTTCTAAGAAAAAACACAACAAAACACTAAGTTTGGTATTATTTAGGCTACAAAAACCTAGAACTTTTAATCTTTCTTAATTTTATGACCAGAAATGTAGTTTAAAAAACCGAAAAACACACTTCAATTATTATATAATAGAAAACCATATTGACATTTTTGATTTTTTTATTATGTTAATACTGGTTAGGATAATAGGGCAAAGATTAAAATTCTTGCATTGTCATCGGACCGTCTGCAAATGTTCAAGATAAATGGACGCCTTGAAGTCATTGAAAATGACATTCAAAGATGGTCGACACAGAAGTCCCACACCAATCTGAATAAGCTGTGTTAAAAAAAACTATACTTCTTCAAATCCAGGAAATAAGATGGATTTATAAAATAACTGGCGATAGGACCTCTTGTGAGTCCGCGCGGGTAAGTACCACCACCCTGCCCATTTCTGCCGTGACGCAGTAATGCGTTTCGATTTGAAGGGTGGGGCATCCGTTGTAACTATACTTGAGACTTTCGAACTTATATCTCAAGGTGGGTGGAGCATTTACGTTATAGATGTCTAAGGGGTCCAGTAATAAAAAAAAAAGCTTCAGTTGCTTCGTTCGTCAAATGATTCGATTCCCGCTGTCAGAATCAGTATCTTTGTTATAGATGTTAAGAATTCGGAATGTTCGCCGTGTACTCTATTCCAATAACCCGGGCACAAACAATTTTCTAAAATTAATAGAAAAAACACTACCATTAGAAAGTATTGCGAAGATGCGTAAGAAGACTTTTGATCTCAACGAAAAAAACAAAACATGCTCGTTGATTTCCTTTCAATAAGGTTATTAGGACTGGGCGTCCCACTGTCGCGACAGATCGACGCCACATCGTTATAAACGTTCTTTCCCATCATTTTATGATTACCGTCAGCCACTTTATATTTCAACATTAGGCGCATAAGGTCGGATATCTTTTATGCCAATATTTCTAATAGTAATTTTAATATTTATTTATATATTTATAACAATACTAATATTAAATATAATCATATTATAAATTTAAATGTTTGTTTCTCGATCACGCAAAGGGTTGAACGAATTTAGATGATTTTTCGTAAAATGTATATAATTAGTTCATGAGCATAGAATACTTATTTTTTTAACTTTTTTATCGTGGTAAATGATATGACCCAAGCGTCGTGTCTATAAGTCGACTGGTAATTTATGACCATGAACGTAACACAAGTACCTTTTTGCAATGCAATATGTTACATTTAAATACAACTTCTTCTGTATCTATTTTTGTTACTGAACTGCAATAAACCTGAACCGATTTTGATTTAAAAAAAAAAGGTTTATTTTAGTGAGTTTTCTTGTTTGGCTTATATTTGCAATTGAATCTGGTAGGCAGCATTGTGATTAGAATCCACAATTACTTTTGTATTATAGTCTAGAATAGTCCGTATCCAAAAAAAATAAGGGCATTTAAAAAAAAAGATAAATTTGTCTATTCTTATGCTACTAAAGTAATATTTTTAATTACATGAATATTTTAAACGAACTGACCGCTTTGTTTCATGATTAATATTGATTTTTATTTGAAAACTAGCTGACTCGGCAGACTACGTAGTGCCTCCATCGGTAAATAAAAAACCTAAACCTTTGTATAAAATAAACTTAAAGCAAACAAAAGGAATCCGAATCCGTCCGACGGGGGACACATCAAAGCGAAAACAAAATTGTTATTTTTATTTCATTCCGAGCATTTTCATATTTATCTACCTTTAAAACGTTCTCTGGACTTCCAAAAATAATTCAAGACCAAAATTACCCAAATCGGTCCAGCCGTTCTCGAGTTTTAGCGAGACTAACGAAC